TCGACGAAATCCTTTGAAATTTTGAACATAGCCATGTATTACGATATCCTGCAACTTGATGTATAGGAATTATCATGAAAACACGTGTATGCACGTGCGCTGCAATCTGATTGGCTGAAACTTTAAATAGCAATAACTCCCTTGGTTTTCAACCAAACAGGATGGGATTTGGAACATAGATATATATAATGGACTTCTACAAGAGGGTATGGTCAGAATGCACATGCATACACGTGCGTGTAGTGCGCTGCAATCTGATTGGCTGAAACTTTAAATAGCTATAACTCCCTTGGTTTTCAACCAAACAGGATGGGATTTGGAGCAGAGATATATATAAAGGACTTCTACAAGAATGTATGGTCACTATGCACATGCATGCATGTGCGTTTACTTGCGCTGCAATCTGATTGGCTGAAACTTTAAACAGCTATAACTCCCTTGGTTTTCAACCAAACGGGATGAGATTTAGAACATAGATAGATGTAATGGACATCTACAAGAATGTATGGTCACTATGCTCATGTATGCACGTGCGTGCACGTGGAATGGGTAAAATAAAAGATACACTTGAATGAGCGTTTTTTTTACTTTTGGATTAAATACTTTAATATTTAGCATCAAAATATATAGATTGTGTAGACAATATGATATGGTCATTACGCACGTGCATTAACATGCGCACGCGTGCAATGCTAAAATTTTAATGAAATTGGTACACTTCTGGGTAAACGTTGTTAAAGTCTCAAATGCATAGAGTTTGTCTTCTTTAATGAAGCTTATAGGGAATATGGCACCAAAAGGGAGTTGGGGAGCGTTTGGGGAACATCTGTAACGGTCCCCGTTACAATTAGCACTAGTTATTATTATTATTATTATTTTTCTTCTTCCTGGGAAAATTTTGTCCACGAGTGATCTTGTAAACTACACATCCGACTTAGGTGAAACCTTTTTAGGGTTAGTAGGCATGTTATGTAGAGTTGCCAAACAAAGGTCATTTTGCGCGCACGTGCTTGCAAGAGCGCGCACGTGCAATAGGTGAAATTACCAATATAATGGATATTGCCGTAACTTTTCTATTTTTTGATGAAATTTTTTGAAACTCATTATGTAAGGATACATTAGTAGTATAAACAAGATAGCATGGTCAAAATAGCAAGATCTCACGCGCATGCACGTGCGCTTTGCTCTGATTGGCTGAAACTAAAGTCTCAATAACTTTCTTGTTTCTTGTCATAATCCTTTGAAATTTTGAACATAGTCCTACATTATAAAGATCTACTGGATGATATATAAGAATTTTCATGAAAGCATGCGCATGTGCGCGTGCTGCAAGCTGATTGGCTGAAACTTTAAATGGCAATATCTCCTTTGTTTTTTGACGAAATTCTTTGAAATTTAAAATATAGTCATGCATTAGGATATCCTACAAAATGATATATAAAAAAAATCATGAAATCACGCGCATGCACGTGTGCTGCAATCTGATTGGCTGAAACTTTAAATGGCTATTTCTCCTTTGTTTTTTGACGAAATTCTTTGAAATTTAAAATATAGTCATGCATTAGGATATCCTACGAAATGATATAGAAAAAAAATCATGAAATCACGCGCATGCACGTGTGCTGCAATATGATTGGCTGGAACTTTAAATTGCTATTTCTCTTTTGTTTTTTTTACGAAATTTTTTGAATTCAAATTTAAAATATAGTCATGCATAAGGATATCCTACAAAATGATAGAAAAAAAAATCATTAAATTACGCGCATGCACGTGTACTGCAATCTGATTAGCTGAAACTTTAAATTGCTATAACTCCCTTGTTTTTCAACCAAACAGGATGGGATTTAGAACATAGATAGATGTAAGGGACTCCTACAAGAAGGTATGATCATCATGCACGTGCACACACGTGCGTGCATTTGAAACGAGTATATTTAAAAAATACTCTTGAATGAGTGATTTTTATTACTTTTGGACTGAATGCTTTAATATATAGTATATTAAAATATTAATAGTGTAGACAAGATGATATGGTCATAACGCACATGCATTCACATGCGCTTGGGTGCAATGCTAAAAATTGAATATAATTGGTATCCTTCTGGGAAAGCGATGTAAAAGTCAAAAATGCACAGAGTTTGTCTTATTTAATGAAGCTTACAGGGAACATGGCACCGAAAGGGAGTTGGGGAGCGTTTGGGGAACATCTGTAACGGTTCCCGTTACAATTAGCACTAGTTTAAAACTAACTTAAAGTTTAACTTATGTGAATTGCCCATATTCATATGAAGTTTAAAACTATATTTTATCTTTATACAATGAATGACTTTTTATGAAATTGAATGATTTTAGTCTTCAATAATGCCTTACTGGTAAACATAAATCCATTCACTTTGTTCAGGCCAAGCTTCTTTGTTTGCAGTTGCCGACCTATAATTTTTAGACTGGGTAGGTATAGTTAGGTATTCTTTTTTTTTTTTTTTGAAAAAAAAAATTGTTTTCCGATTTTTGTTAGATAACAAATTATAGAGTTTTTCATAGGCCTTCTTAACATTAATAGGCTTCACTCTTTTTATAAACCACTGATTGATATAAACAACAGTCAACAATTGAAAATGAAACAGTTTCAATATTAGGGATGGGTATCGCCAAAAATTTCGTATCGCAATATATCACGATTTTTTTCCCACAATATCACGGTAATATCATGATATTTTTAAAAGCAGTTTTTACAATGATTTTATATTAAAAGTCATTATTTTTCTAAAAAATATGCTAGAAAAACAAAATTTAACTTTCTTGAAATTTTTATATATATAAAATCAATTATGTTTGGACGGTAAGATGCCGTTCTTTTCACTTTTTACAACATTTCTTATACTTTCTGTAATTGTAATTTGAAAGATTGAACAAATAAATGAATAATTTCTGGACTTCATAATATGTACCTAAAGACCAGTATTTAGGTCTCCGTATCACGATACGTATCACGCAACAAAAAATCGCGATTTACCGGTATACCGAAAAAATCGCACATCCCTATTCAATATCCTGAAAAATTGAAGAAGAAAAATAATTTTATAAAATAGCTAAAAAAAAAGTTTGGGTCGGGTGCATTTTCAGTGGGTCGGTAGGCAACTGCAAACAAACAAATTTTTATTTTAGGCCTCACTTCATAAAGTTTTATGCCATTGCCAAATACCATGTTTTTATTTACAGAATACATGATCTAGCAGTGGAGAAGGGAAATTTGACAAATATGATTTTAAAAAATTCTCCTAACTTTGACAACACACCAAGAGCAGTGAAATCCAACCCAATCACGAAATCTCGTAGGATAAATTTCACCACAATACAACAGGAGGGATCCTCAGAATCCCCCGCTCCACCTTCCAGAAGAATCAACCCCACCCCAGTGTCAGGGAAACCATTCAGGAGGCAGACAAATGCCTTCATAGAACAACAGGACTCAGAAAACAAGAACAGTAACTCTAGCTTTGATCAGAGTCACTTAGAAGAGGAGAGAGAATTACTCAGGTAAAATTATTCTATATACATATACTGTAAATCACTTTTTATTCGCGAGAACTTTATTTTCGCGTAATTACGCGAGATGGTATACTCGCGAAAATTTCATTCTCGTGTATAATAGAATTCCTGAAGATCATATAGAGCACTGACCACAATTCATGAAAATTTTGTCTCGCTAATAAAGTGTCAATGACTATCTCGCAAAAATTAGGTGTCGCGAAAATTAAGTGATCTACAGAATGTACAATTGATAAAGAGTCCAGAATAAGTGAATACGTGTGTATGTATGTTATAAATAGATGAAATCAAATGGAGAAAATTTTTCTTTAGATCAGAAACTGCAGGTTAAAAATGAGAACTAATATTAATTTTGAAGGAAAGAAAAAGCTAAGCATCTTCAAAACAAAGTTGAGAGCAAGTCAGATGATTGCAGCTCAACATCCGTTAGTACACCAACCAAGCTAGCCTTGGACCGTTCTGTCAGCACAGTGGAAATAGTTACTGCTGATATTAAAGAGGTCACACACAAGATTGAACTCGATAAATTGGTACAACTGTACTCAGAATGTCTCAGTGGTAAGATTTATTGAAGAGATTCAGTCCAGTTGTTGCAGTAAGCCTTCCATTGATAGAGAGAGGTTTTTATTCTAAAAAAAAAAAAAAGAATGATTTAAAAAGACTGCTAATAATAAATTAAGATGCATGTCATATGAATTTCTACACAAAAGTTATTGTCAAGTGCTAATTATTTTCATCTGAATTTTAAAAAGTATAACCCATCTGAAGAGAAGTTCTTAAAAGAGAGCAATGCTTTATACATGTACCTGTTTTGCTTTCTCCTGTACAGAGAATCTGTTTCCTAACCTCTCTATGGAGCTGTACTTCCTGATGCAGTTGTTGACGACTCGTAGTGTAGACCTGGACTTGATAGCTGTTTGTGGAGAAGGTGGGGGTTACAGTGATAGTTCATATGTCCAGACTGTGTTAATTTTGACCAGTGCTTTATGCATGTCCATATTACATGTATATAAGTTTTGTCTCTCATTTTTGTTGGTATAAAAGTGAAAATACATTTACTAGAGCTTATATTTTGTGTTGTTTGCAGATGTTTTGGAAAATAATTTCTTTTGTTCTGTCCACAATGCTGTATATTTTGCTGTTGGTGTTCTGAAAAGACAGAAAAGGTAAATCATAATTATAAAGATTTCATCAATAGTCCGTCAACTTGTCACACAGAAAATAAAAATGAAATAATAATTGTTATTAGTGAAATTTAATTTTTAAGGATTGTGTTTTTTTTATACATGTATATTTGAAGAATGCAATTGAATTTAAAAATTAATTTGTATTTCATAGGGAGAAAAGTGGCAGAAGTTTAGACTTTTTCTATATCTTTTCTCCCCACATAGAAATAGTTACATGTATTTAATGATCAATACAGCAGTTTAACTTAAATGTATGAAATATAGTAAATGTTTGATACCATATACAAGGAATTTAATATGCATGTAATTTTGTACTTCATTTGAGAATAAATACTGTGGTATATAAATATACAATTCTTGATTTTTTTTATGTACAGATTACTTCAGTGCCTTGATAAAGTGACCTTGAGACTGTTGTCAGAGAACACCAGAATTTCTCACTTTTCTCCTGATCTAAGTCATTGGTTGATGATCATTGTTGAAAGCAAGAACCAACAGGTAGCAGGGTTGATTCAAGTACTGAGTTTATAACAAAAACTATTTTGATCATGCTTTACGTAACTGTTTTGTATATTGCATGCATAACACCTGAATATATCACATTCAAAGCACCTGCAATTGGGAAAAATGTTTAACCAAGTTAAATATTTTGACAGGTCGGTCCCATTTATCCCAAGTCTCCCATTGGAAGTGTGTCTTTCCAAGCAGAAACTGACAATAGGAAAAACTTTCCTGATGATAGAACATTTCATTTATTCAAAAAACAAAGGTGAGAATTTAGTGTTCCTGAAACCTTATGTGAAAGTATTTACATTTTGAACTGACTACTTTATACAGACTGTGCATTTAAGGAAATTTAACAAAAAAATTCATTTTGTATGTGTTTGAAGGCCTTTGTGCACAATTTTAAATGGAAAACTGTATGAAAATTAAAGATGAAGGTAGAGTTGTAAAAATAACATACACATTCAAATTAAGATATCATTACAGTTATAAAACAGGTGATGGGACTGCATCTGATAATGTGTATTCATGCTTATTTATTTCTTGGAAGAACTCAACATTTTGACTTATTAAAGCAATAATTGATTGGATTGTTTATATGACAAAATAAATCAATGCTTACAGGGATGGATTCTATGAGATTCTGAGGGAGTGGGAAACCAACCACATGGTGCCGGGCTGGTCTGTCAGTGATGTGCTAAGGAACAAAATCCGGGCCTTGATCAGCTCCAAGACAGAACTCTCCAACCACCTCCACTTTGCCAGACTGTTTCAATCTCAGCTTATCGCCGTAAGAAACTCCTTAGTGTCAGATCAAACTAAACAAACGGATTTTCTTCATATACACTGTATTTCAGTGTACTTTTGATTTTGAAGTTGAATTCAAGTGGTACACTTACTGAGGATGTCCATTTATTTATGCCCCTGCTTGAAGAGCAGGGATATGTAGTAATGTCTGTCCATCTCTTATTTTAAATTTTTATCAGACTTTATGGCTCTCCCATAACAGAACATCCATTTTGCCATTGATGTTCCTCTAGTTTTACTACTGAAAGCTGTTTATATCCTACGTTTATGATTAACTTTTCTCTCCAGATGTGTAAAGGAGACAGTGGTTTAATGGCTGACTCTGGTGATGACAATATTGCTTTGTTAACTCAGTTAAAGCGTTCTAATCCAGAAAAGTTTAAAAAGTGAGTCTTTTATATTCAGTTTCATTGTTTTAAAGGGTACTGCACCACTGCCACTGTTAAGTGGTTGGTATATCCACCTCTCCAATATTACTTGACTTGAGGTATTTTCTCTCCCAATACTTTCTTCAGCCACATTTTTCAACTTTCAGACTGCAGGAGAGATTTTCTAAGCCATTAAGTTTTGGAGGCCCTTGTCCTGTCCCAGCCTTCCCTGGGTGTCAGGAATTCTTCCACGATTTCATCATTGCTGCATCCAGCACTATTTTTAACCAGCATTTGAGTGATACTTTTGCATCAAAAATTCTTGAGGTATTGTAAAACTATTTTGAAAACATTTTAAACTATTCAAACCTTTTTATGGACAAATCCTCAGAGGAGGAAACCAGATATATATACATGTACATGAAATTGAAAGCCTTTCATTGTTTTGATTAGGCATGATGAATTACTTTATTCCAATCAATTAGTTACAGTATAGTTAATATTCAAGGATTTTCCTTCTTCGAAATAGAAAAAAAATCAACAATTAATAAAGTTGTAAGTAAACTGTATATGATAAGGATTTCTGAAATATTTTCAGTTGAATTCAATATGTTTTCTCCCTGAAGAAGAAACTGGAAATGAAGATTCTGATGATGTAAGTCATTCATTTAGAACATTGTTTCTCTTCCTCCCGAACCATTCCTAGGATATGATGGCACAATACAGATATAACAAATCCAATGTCACTGGGAGTAATTTATTCTTTATATGAATTTCAGGAACAGAAAGAGTTATTTATTTCTAGTCTCTTCACCCTGAGGCTTCTTGGAAAGTTCCTTGGCTTTGTGACCTTTCTACCTTATCAAACAACCACAAAACTGCCAGATGAAATGGAGGCCATGTATCTGTCAATAAGGAAAAATGTAAGCTGCTCCATACCAATCTTGGGCAGATGAAATGTTTTTGAACTATTTTTCCCTTCTTGTAGAGTTTGAGCACTGTACACAATAACCTTTTGAAATGCTATAAAAGTGATGGAATTTCATTGTGATATAACATATCATTTTGACATTCATACTTGATTGTATATTTCTGTGCAGTAATTACAAATGTCATAAATCATTCCCATAATCTTGAATCTCAAGATATGTTAAAAATAAGACTTGCAATTGGGAGATTTATGTAGTAATCAGTGTGTAAATTAGTACATTTACATATGAAATTTGTTCTTAGGTTCCAGTGATACGTTTTATATACACTTTATGCATTTCAGCACCTGCCATACTTGGACCTAGTGGAGTGCATTAAGGAGGCCCTGTCCCTCCATCGCCTTACCCTCACCATCCCCTGGGTGGTGGAGTTCCTAAGCATGATGGACGTGGTAGCCCCCAAAATTGACCACTTCCAGCTGACTCTATTCTTACTATTACTTATTCATAGGTAAAGATTCTGAATATGTTAACTTTTAAAGAACTTTAGTTGTTCTTTTAGCATTTTATTTTATTGAGGGGAGAGGCTCCTAACTGAATTTCTACATTAGCGCTTTTGTGTAAGGTTTTTAAAACGATTGCACTTGTTACTTTTTTGTCCATTCTCATGGGATTCTAAGCACAATATTGGTAAATTCTTTAATTTTTCAGATCATGTTGGAGAGAATTGAAGCATGAGAATTATGGTTGCCTCCTTATTGTAACAATGATAAGCTGGTTGTTAGATGTAAGTTTAGTCAGATATAACCTTGATTTTTGTGATGAGAATAGCTGATAATTTGAAACCAGACAAAGAAAGTTGATCGTACATTTAATGAATTGTATTCTGATTGCTTGTACTTTTCAGCTTTCAGTCATACCAGAGGGCTTCTTCTTTGTTGAAATTCCTCATGATGTGTTGGATATTTTACCAGATGTTCAAAGGAAGTCTACATTACAGCTGGTATGATTTTTACCATCATCTGTAATATTAAAGTTTTCAAATTTGTTTTCGACAGAAGCAATTTTTTTTAATTTCTCCAAACTTAATTCACAATATTTATGCAGTGGATAAAAGTAAATATATTTCTTTCATTGACGATTAACACTACCAATATGTTTATAAGAATGGCTTAATTTGCTACTGACTTTCCTTTCTGTTTAATTTCTTGAAAAGGACACCATGGGATTTGTTGATCAAAGCGTGTTCTACTCCTGCTGTCCATATTTATGTAAGTGACATATATTAGAACATAAAGATTTAGTTTTTTTCTTATTTTGACTTTTTCGTAGAATAGATTATTTTAAGGTGTAGGTCATTACAAGCATTTTTATTATCATTGTTCGCTAATGTTTGAGCAGTAGAACTCAGAACCCTGTTGACGGAGTTTGCTGTGGGCTGTAGCAGTAAAACATCTACCATCAGGAAAATCACTCCCGTATCAGCCGAGGATACTACCATCCCTAAACCATCAGATGTTCAAATTCAGGTATTTCTGCTTTGCAAGATTTTATCGAGTGATTAAAATTGCAATGCAATTTTTCTTTGGCAGATAAACAGTGGGATTTTTTTCTTGATCAGATTTAAAAGGTAAAAATTAGAAAGGGCTTCATCTTAAGAAAGTTGAATTCAGATCATTGTTATATCACTACAAAATCAAAGTTACTATTAATGAGAAAAGAATCCTAAAACTTTATTGAATCATTTTATTTTTCCCCTTTCAGTTACAACTGGAGGAGAATTTCTTCCACAATCACCCAGCCTCTCTGAGGAGATGTGTGGATTTTGTGGCCGAGCGAACAGCATCTAACTTCATCAAGAAGTTCCGCTCCACCTCCCTACAGAAATCCCTGGGGGACAGTAGGGAGGCATTGAACACACACCTCATGTCACAGGCTGGGGGCTCTCCTAGCGGGAAAGCAAAGGTAGGTGATCTCAAATTATAAAATGGCATGTTTTGTCTCAGACTAGAATGTCACTTTGTCTTTGAATAATGGTCTTTTCTTGTTTACTTTAAATATTGTTTATGGACAGGAAAAAAATTTTGATGGTGATGTGGCAGATAAGATAACACTTAACATTCTTATCATTTTTGCAATGCTGCTTATAAATTTAAAGTAGTTCCCCTTTTCAGTGACCTAATCAGTAAACATGAAGGAGATTTACAAAGTTAAGATAATCACATTTCATTTTGATTGAAGAAAAAAAATAATAAATCTAATATTTTGGTATGTTACATTTTAATGACATACAAATAAGCACTATCAACATTATTTTTGCTTAAAATGGATTGAAGCATTAATGCACAAATATCAACACATTAACACACAATAATTATTTCACTGTCTGATTTATGAATTGCGTGAAAACACAGAGAATGTCCTTGTTGCTTTACACACAAAGTTATCCACATCAGTTAGTCTCGTTAACACCTCAAATGGATCCTCCACAGAAGAAGCCTGGATCCCTGGCTGCAGAATACAAATGATTTTATTAGACAAATTTTGGATTTCCTGAATGGTGTTGTCTTTGAGATGTTGGTAAATTCTCTTGATGCCGCACGCGACAGACTTTCTCAGGAGTTGGCTGTTATGTAGGCCTTCCTGTTCTTGTAGATGTGAGGCGAATATCCTTGTAGACAAGCTTTGGATGTAGGACTCTGTAATTGAAATTATAAACTCAATATGATTTCTAAAAATTGATAAATTAAAGTTGGCGGGGGGGAGTAGAAGAGGGAGTAATGAATTATACATAACAATATATAGGCCTTATGAAATGTTGTTTACCTAATATAAGAAGAGAAAGTGACTAAAAAAGTAAATTAAGATGGAAATCTTTTAAAGGTTTTTTTAAATGCAAAATTTCTTGGTACTTTGAGTCTTTTTTTTTTCATTTGATCAGTTGATCTATCCAAGGAAGAGGTCCTAAGTCAGGCAATACATTCCTCAATAAGACATAATTTTCTTTAGGAATTTGTCATAAAAATATATGATATATTTTATAAAAAGTTTGGTCACAAATAGTTGAGATACCTTGCTAGACATTTGTGCAAAATACCTATGGGTGTTTCCAGTATCATAATTTTTTTATATACAAATGTTGGTGTTTTTTTTTAATATTTTTAAAACAGTTTAGAAATCCTAATTTGATGACAATTTTTAATAATTTTTAATATCCTTATAAAATTACAAGGAGATACATAATAGATATTTGAGGAATGCGTTATCTGCATGACATTAAAATGAAATAAATTTCAATTAATAAACCTGTTGCATAAAGTTGTTCTTCATATTTCTGACATTGTTGAAGAAGTTTCTGCAGTTCGACTGCATAGGCTATCAGTTGTTCATCATTCATTGTAGAGTCTTTGAAATTCCTATGAATAATTCATTTTTAGCAGTATTTATACCCCCACCACTGAATCACTCAAGGTAAACCATACCTAATTATTAAAGGATCAAAAGATAATCCTACTAGATCACAGAACATGGAATCTTTGATGTGTTGGGATTAAGTATATAATTATAGAGTAATTAGGGCAATTATGTCTTTCTAGCTGTGGTGGTAGAACAGGTATTATTTGACACCTTTCTTTGTAGATACATGTACCTGAGTAATTGAAGCTATAGGTGTGATAAAATTAAGATTTTAAATAATTGTGTCTCTTGTCCATTTACAATTTTATTTTAGAGGAAACTACTCAGTTACCTTCAAAATAATTTAAAAAAAAAAAAAATAAATAACTTTGTTTTATGAAATTCTGTTGAAATTTTATTGATTAAATATTTTGCCTATTTATAATTATATTTTTTTCATTGAAAGTCACAAAATTAAAGATCATTGTAAAAGTTTTTTCCTTATTTATGGGCAAAACAAATCACTAATTAAAAAGGAATGTTTTACCTGTATACTTGTGTCTTATTTCAGGACAAGTTGCAGCATGATATCTTGAAAATTGCACAGGATCATGTTGCACAGGCCAAACTCACGGTGGCCAAAGATGTAGGCAGGTTAGCAAGATATTAGATTTAAAAGTGCATATTTTCACTGATGCATAGCATGAAGCTATTGAACTCTTTTCATACACAACTGTATAACAGTCTGAGCAAACTATCCAGATAAATGAAGCATCCATATTAGGCCATAATGAAAATATTCCTAGATTCTCATCCCCGCCCGTCCCGATTTTATTCCTCCGTCTCGATTTTTTTTATTTCTGTTTTTCTTCGTCTTAACTCTGATCGGGATCGGTATTCATCTACCATTCTACTTTCGTTTTAAATCCCGCGAAAGTCGACATGATTTTGACAGCTAAAAAGATGATAATTGCTGTAATACATGCGTTTATATTTTAAACAAGGGTCATTGGTTGAAAAAGATCGGTGATTATGTGAAGTAAGAGATAATTGAACCATTACTATGTCTTTTATTCGGGTGTTGTAGATAAAATTACATCGATTGACCAGGTCAATAAAAAATCTGCAAAATTGAAAATAAAAAAATATAAAATAAAAGCCGCCCGCCCGCCTCGATAAAAAAAAAAATTCGGATGAGAATCTAGCTATTTATTTATTATGGCCTTACAAAAATATATTATGTTCATAGTGTATATAAATCATTCCCTGCAAATTTCATCCAGAGAGTGAAGTGCTTGAGTTGTGGGCATGCAAATCAATAAACTCTCACTGTATACTGTAGATTTCTTATTTCTCGCGAGAATTTGTTTTCGCGAAAATAGCTCTATAACACAAAATCATGAGGATAATACTTCGTGAATGAACCCTTGATCAATAGATCTTTGCATAGATTTTAGCACCAAAAAAAAAAAAAGAAAGAAAGCGAGTATATTTATTTTTGAGTTGTGTTTCTCATGAAATTATGTGATGATTAATTCCTCGCTTATATGTAGGAATCTACAGTATTTGTTTCGGGGTATTTCATATACAGTAAAACACAGTTTAGTGAATATGCTTCTAATGAATTGATGCTTACAACAAAATGATTTTCAATACTTGTGACATCAAAATTTATACGTATGATAAACTTAACAGATATTGCAAATTGCTCTTTAAACAAAGCAATATCCTGTCCCAGGCAATTCTTTACAAGCATGTTTTACTATATTAGTATTTTATTAGGTCACCTGAGTAAACTCAGGTGACCTATTGCTATCTGTTTTCGTCTGTCGTCGTCCGTCGTGCGTTAACATTTGAACATTTTCAGCTTCTTCTCTGCAACCACAGAACCAATTTCAACCAAATTTGGCACAAAGCATTTATGGGTAAAGGGGAACAAAAATTGTGAATTTCATGATCCCTGCCCCCCTGGGGCCTGAGGGGTGGGGCCAAAACCACTAAAATTAATGCAATCTTTAAAAATCTTCTTCTTTACTCCTGGACATCAAGCAGTCAAACTGTTTGCATGATTGTTATCAGCAATGAGTCCTCTACCAAAATTGTGAAATTCATGGCCCTGGGGTCAGGGGTTCTAGTGCTAGGGCGGGGCTAAATAAGTAGGTAGTGAAAATGCATTATTTCTTTGAAAATCTTCTTCTATGCTCCTGGGTATTCAATAAATCAACTAAGTACATAGTTATGATGAGCAAGAGTGCCTCTACCAAAATTGTGAATCTTATGGCCCCAGGGTCAGGGGTTCCGGTGTTAGGGCGGGGCTCTATTGATTATATAGTGAAAATACATGAATTCTTTAAAAATCATCTTCTCTGCTCCTGGGTATTAAATAAACTAACTAAGTACATAGTTATGATAAGCAAGAGTGCCTGTACCAAAATTGTGAATTTTATGGCCTCAGGGTCAGGAGTTCTTGTTTTAGGGTGGGGCTCTAATGATTATATAGTGAAATGCATGAATTCTTTGAACATCTTATCCTTTGCTCCTGATTAATATACTAATGATCTAATTACATATTTAAGGCCAGGATTTATTTTATTTTCAGTTTTACAAACCCTCCACTCAAGGTTTTGAATTTTCAGTAAAAAATAAAACATTTTTTTTCTTTCCGATGTCAAATTTGAGTCGGGATCGAGATTTCAAATTTACGAACTCGCACTTTCGGTTTTAAGATGAAGGTGTCACAACAGTATTAATTTCTGCTATATATTCTTACCAAAAATGCGCAAGTTTGAGTAGATGTAACTAATTCAAAACAAACTTCTGAGAAGTTTCCTTTTCAAATCTTGTAAAACCATTCTTTATAAA